GTTGTAGAAACCAGACCATTAATTGTGGTTTTAAACTACTCTTTAGGGTCATAACATTACAAACATTTCACGTTTTTGAATTCTTCACACTTTTCTAGTCATTTTTCCTTAAAATATCTTTAACTTTCTTAGTTTCTGCTGTTGTTTCAAATCATGAAACAGGTATGCACTCATGCACAGTTTGGAGTGCAGGCTGCAGTATTAATAATATTACATTTTATTGTTTCTTAGAAATGCACATTTGACAGTAGCTTGAGTTGACAGTAGTGGTAGCTTGAGTTAGGATGCAGATGTAAATTTATGTTCATCTGTATTGTAACTACCTCATTTTTATATGGTGAAATTTAATTACTCTGATTGTTTGAGTTTTAAAATGATATCTCGATAATTATCGTTATCATTTTATCGCCCAGCCCTATATATAGATATATCAAATTTTAAAATATCTTTAATAAAAAAATTTAAAAACATGCATATACACACTTTTTTAAAATCACTTGATATAGTAAAAACATTTTTAGTGAAATCAGTGATATCACTATACTATTTATATGTATACAATTGCAGAAAAATCTGAAAATAGTTGTTAGCTTTAATTGTATCTGACTGTGCATGTGCATCTCACCTGATTGCATGGACAGAACGGGGTGGATGCTGCGGTCTTGATGTGCGACTCTCTCCAGCAGAGGGCGATCAAATGGTAAGTCTGGTTTGGAGAGGGGAGGAGCACCGCCACACATGACACATGATCCATTGACTTCACACACACATAAAGGTGAAAAAGACACTCTCTGAACCTGATAAAAGAAGGACACTCACTTCAGATACACTTCAAAATCAGCAAAAAATGCGCTCCTTGAATATTGATACATTCATACTAATAAACTTCACATAAACGCACCTTGCCGTTGTGGACAGTGTTCGGGTGGATAAGACGTCGTCTCCTGCAGGTCAACAGTGGGCGTGTTCGTGCGGAGGTACAGCTGCTGTCCAGATTTGATGGGCATGTGCCGGACATTTCGGTCACGCTACTGAAATAGGAAAAAGTGGAAACAATGTAAAATCCAGTTTTTGCCAAGCCAATGGAAAATAAGAATCTATGCTGATACAAGACCCCACTGCATTCACCCTGTCCGAGTTCATTTTGCAATAATGGCCAATTGACTATTTTATACTTCACTAATAAATGTTTGGTAATGTTAATATAACATTATTAGGCCCCACTTTATATTCAGCTATTATGTACTTGCATCAAAAACATATATACATGGTACATAGAAGTTACAGACACTTAATTTAAACTGGGTCAAGTTATTCTAATGTTAGCAAACGGTAACAATTTACAATAAATTCAAATATTTACGCCGACACAATATTACATTTGTCCAAACCTAACGGACATGTCATTCTCAGATGTGTCTGTCAATCGAGACTGGGATTCTGTGAAATTATGGGATGCTGTTGAGGTTAGGACATTCTCATTAGTCTCGGTTCTCTGGCAGGAAGGGGCGGAGTCTCCCAGCTCCACAAGACCCTGCAGAGAGCATGCAAAAAAAATCAAAATAAACTTTGTATACAGCCAAATTCCATTAAACTAATTCCCGATTCTTAACAGTCCTGAACCTGGATGCTGTTTTTATCTTATAACACAAACACAGTAGATATTCAAGGCTCTGCTAACCTTGCTGGCGCGGAGCTGGCGGTAGACATCAACCTGCTGTCGGATGCGGTACTCCAGGTCTGATATCTGAGCCTGCAGCCATGTCCAGTGACTGATGATTGTGGCTCTTTCCCTGGCAAAGCGCCCTTCTGCTCTTCTCCATCTGAGAGAGAAAAGTGAACAATCCAGT